AAGATGGAAGATTCACTGTTTTATTGAATAAGACGGACAAACAGCTCTCCCTGCACATCGAGGCCACCCAGCCTGGAGACTCAGCTGTGTACTTCTGTGCAGCGAGTACACATTGCTTCCCAGGCACCTGCAGCCTGTACGCAAACCTGCGAGTGGAGCCAGTGCTCTGTTTTGGGATTACCTTCAAGCATAGATAGTATTTGTCATATTTTGTCTGCAAATGGAAACTAATGTGTTCTTTGTTAAAAATGCATAATAAGTAGGTTTGGTTCAAGATGACCCAGGAAGGTTAGAATATTTTATTGGATGACTGGTGCTTAGTGGATTCTTAATGGGAGTTAGTCATGTTTTATTTTGAAATTTAGGCTTTAATGATGACTTTACATTTAAAAAAAAAAGATTTTATTGGGGAATTAGGGAAGGGGAACAGTGTTGGGGAATTGGGGAAGGAAAACAGACAAGTTGTTGTCCTTCAATCTTAGTTGTGGAGGGTGCAGCTAGCTCAGCTCCAAGTCCAGTTGTCACCTGGCCGCCCATCAGCAATTCACAGCCGCTCAGCTTAACGTGCTATGTTTCATCTTAGTTGCAGGTGGGCATAGCCCACCATCTTATGTGGAAGTCTAACCATCAACCTTGTTGTTAAGAGCACACACTCTCACCAGCTGAGCCATCCTGACACCTGTTGGCAGCTCAGTGACAGCTCAGCTTGGGCACAGCTCACTGGCCTGTGTGAGAATCGAACCAGTGACCCTGTTGCTCAGAGCTGGCGCTCTTAACCAACTGAGCCACTCAGTAGGCTCCCAACTTTACATTTCTTTTTCACACAACTGTCCTATAAAAAACCATTAGTATCAATACGCCAATCTTAAATAGGGATGGGTTTTTAAATCTTCTGTTTTGAAATTATTGGGTTGTCAGAAAAGTCATGACGCATTTTTGCAACAAAAAACATAGAAAAAAATACGTCATGACTTTTCTGACAACCCAATAATATTTATTATTTTTCTGATTATTAACCATTATATGCCAAATATAGAAAATATGTAGAATACAAAAATATAAAATTGATAATTTTGTAATCAGACAACATTGTTAATATTTAGATTACCCTTTCTATCAATTTGTATTGTAATTAGGATCATGATTATTTTCACCCTATATCTTTAATTGACCATTCTCCATTTTATCATTCTATTCTTCAAGTACCTGCTTCTTAATAGCTCTGTAAGATTTTAATAAATTTCAGTTTTATATTAATTTTCTTCTTCTATAATTGTGGCACATTTGACAGTCTTTTCTATGTGCCCTGACCACTGTCTTTTTAAGAAAATGTAAACTTTGATGTATATTCTTTGTGTGTTTGAGGAAATTAGCATAAGAAGAATTTGAGAGTGTGATTTCCGTTTAAACTCACTAATCTATTTCTTTTCACAAAATTATTTATATATCTGTTCACAGTTACTCTCTCATAGGATTTAAAACAGAGTTTGTATTATTCACTGCCAAAGCTACAGTACCTAGCATAAACTTTTTCACGTAGTTGATAATCGGTGGATGTTTGTTAAAGGAAAAAGGAAAATGATTTCTGCTATTTATTCACAATTTTACATTAAGCTTTGTGGTACAATTCAATTTATAAATTGATTTGTGGACAAGGAAACTGCTACTGTGTATGTTAAATTATTTGATTGTTTAAGAATGTGCTATTTTTTCAATTTGTATCTTTCTTTCTCAATAAAGCTGTGTTTTAAGATAACTAAATTTATTTCTTGACTTGTGATTTTTTTTTCGTTACCGTGAGTGAAATTCTTCTTTCTGGGGTATATGAGAAAAAAATTTTAAGTTTTTATCAGCCACCTTATTATTGCTAGTGGATTGCACAAAGGTGTTAGACTAATGGTTAATTTAGAGATAGCTTGTTACCCATCTCTTTGCCTCATCTTCATGCTTCGACTGAATTAAACAGAGGTAACCACCATTTTTTTTTGTAAAGTTACTACTTTTAGTGTTATAGATAATCAATGGAATGAAAGATGCATGTGTAACTAATTCTCTAATTTCCCACCTCTGGTCAAGGTTAGGCTATTTTCAAGATTGCTTATAGTCTTCCTGAGGATGGATATAATTAGTGATTGATATGGTGAGAGGATACCTCTTGGCTGATATAGTTGATGTTTATTAGCTAACTGGCTTCTTCTCATAAGGAAAGTCATCAGATTAAATTAGGTTTATAACATCTGAACAAGAAAGGTCCAATACCCAATGGCTTATATTATTTCCCTCACTAGACCACTAGCTCCTGTGCAGTAAAAGCAAGGTGACTCCTGATTGGCCCATTTCCTTCAAGTGTGATGGAGTAACAGGGATGCATGACTTCTATTTTATTTGTTTACTCTTCTTAAACCAAGTGAGAAGACAGGCAGGGTGCAATTGCTAGGGACTGAAGTGCTTTAGCACACTTAGGTGAGAATTTATTTAATGGAAGAATGATAAATGTTCTAGTCAGAGTGTACAGAATCTGTACATACTTAGACACATTCAAGCTTTAAATCTTCACCACCTTTAGTGGATAGGTTTCCTACCGCCTCTGCACAATTTCTTACAAATTTTTTGGCCTTCTCTTGATCCCACAAAGCCAGACTGGGTGTTAACAGCCTGCTTCTTGCTTGCCTCCCTAAGGTGGTGCAGGCTGCTCAAATTTGTGTGGTTTCTTCCAGTCCTGCAAAGTGGGGACCTTTCTGCACATGCTCACTAAAGCACATGTACATAGGCTCACTGTTTTTCTTTTAAATTTATTAAATTTCTTGTGGTGACATTGGTTAACAAAATTATATAGATTTCAAGTGTACAATTCTATATAATGCATCACCTGTGGATGCATTGTGTGTTCACTCCCAGAAGTCAAGTCTCCTTCCATCACCATATATTCCAACCCTTATGCCTCTTCTACTTCTCCCACACCCCCTTCCCTCAATCACCACACTGTTGTCTGGATCTATGAGTTTTTGTGTGTTTGTTTCTTGCTTTCAGTTGTATATATCGCATATAAGTGAAATCATGGTTCTTGACATTTTTTGTCTGATTTATTTCGCGTACCATGATATTCCCAAGTTACATCCATGTTGTCACAAAAGGCAATATTTCATTTTTTTCTCATGGCTGAGTAGTATTCCATTGTATATATACACTTATGTGTACCACATCATCTTCATCCAATCATCTATCGAAGGGCACTTTGGTTGTTTCCATGTTTCAGCCACTGTAAATGATGCTGTAGTGAACATAAGGGTACATCTTTATGGATAAATATTTTCAGATTTTTGGAGGTAGATACCTAGAAGAAGGATTTCTGGGTCATATGGGAGCTCTATTCTTAATTTTTTGAGGAGCATGCATACTATTTTCCATAGTGGCTGTACCAATATACATTCCCACCAGCAGTGTATGAGGATTCCTTTTTTTCTACAACATCTCCAATACTTGTCGTTATCTTGTCTCAGTGATAATAGCCATTCTAACAGGTGTGAGCTTGGGACCTCTTTTTGGTCAAAGCTCACTCTTGTTTCCCTCCTGTGTGCAGTGGTAGCCAGCCACAGGGAGAGAACGTGTGTGGGTGAGGCGCTGAGCCTTGGGGATGCCTGTGGGCCATTGTGAAGATCAGCTGGCACTGCATCTCCAGCAGCTTATGGGCAGGTTCCTGATGGAGTTTGTGGTTTGTAGGGTCCGTGACCCTTTAATGCCCACTGAGAGCCCTGGCAGGTAATCTCTCAGGTGTATTTCACTTCTCTCTTGGGGAGCGCACCTCAGTATTCTGGATGAAGCA